GGACAAATTGACCAAATGGGAGTACAAATGCGTGCCAGATTTGTGTGCTCTTTTGCAGATCAATGAGATTGTCAATTCAATCGAACAGTTCTGCATTTATTCCGGAAAGCTTTGTCGTTTACCCGCATACTCGAGTTCTGTATTGGGTTCTTGCATAAGTTCCCGCCGTATTTAAATATTTATTTCTAAAGAAATAAAAAAATTTGATAACCAAAATAATAACTCACTCTATTATATATTTACTGAAATCATAAAATTTTACCAGCAAAAATAATAACACTTCAATCAATTATGTACTCTACATCACTGTGTACTACTTCTTCCCATATTTCCACCAGTTTGTTGATTCCACTTCGCCAGAAATCCGTAGGCCGAGTCTTGAAGAAGTTGTTGAGCAAATGTTCAAGATGATCTTGATTTTCGAAGCTAAGACCCCTCATTTCATTTGAAAGGTAGCGGAAGAGATGACAATCCGTCAGGACGAGGTCTGTGGAATAGGGAGGATGATGAGGGCCCTCCCAACCGGGCTCTTGGAGTCCCATCTTGACAGCTTTTGTGGTGTGTGGTCGAGTTGTCATGGAGGAGGATCACCTGATCTTGTCCATCCGGTCTTTTTTGTTGAATTGCCTCACTGGCTCGATGCAATCGAGCTTTATAGAGATTCCTCTCTATTGCCAGTTTTTTCCCAAGCATTTCCCAGTGGATTAGACCTTCCCAATCCCACCATATGCAAATCATTATCTTCATCAGGTGCATGTCATTCTTGATTCTAGGCTTAAACTTCTCTCTAGGACTCTCCCACTCTATCGTTTTCTTCATATTCACAAAGAGACACCGTTTCTCGTCTCCAGTGACGATTCTGCATAAGAGACGTTGCCTGTTGCCATGGGTTCCTNTGAAAGGCGCTTATCCTTCTGCTGTTGGGTGAGTTCGTACGGGACCCAAGCTCCAAGCTTTCGAGTGAAACCCATCGGCCGAAGGTGGCGTGAAATTTTCGCTAAGTCACAATTCATATTTTACCCAATTCTCTGCACGTCTGGTGTCCATCTTCCTTCAAAAGATCCCTGAGTAGGTCCTCGTCTACTTCGACTGGTCTTCCGGAAATACGAACGTCATTAAGGTCGAAATTATCGTTTTTGAACCTAACAAACCAATCCCGAGCAGTTCTCACAGCTAAAGCGCCCTCTCCATACATGGCACATATATATCTGGTAGCTTCACTCACTCTTTGACCTCGATTAAAGGCGAAAAGAACGAGATGTCGAAAGTGCGGTTTTTTGTTGACTTGACAGTGCTAAAAAAAGACAAATAATAATACAAGCAAAAACAATTACTTTATTCTTGTAGGGCATCGTACGGGCTTTCCAATGGTATATAACAATTTGCCAAACATCCAAAGTTTTTGTACAACAAATAGTTTCATGTAACGGCGGGAACTTACGCAGCAACCTGATAGTTTCCGTTAGGCGATGTGAACGGTGGTGATCCTGTATCTGTAGACATTCCACGCACATCTCGTTGATCCGCATTTTGTTTTATATTTCTTCCTATTACTTCGTTCAATTTTTCGATTAATTGCAGTATACTTCGGTAGTCAGTCACATGGCCATTCGAAAAACAACAGACAAAATTGGTTCTCGGAAACGCAAATTTAGTGAGTTCGAAAACTGAAAAATAACTGCGTAATGACTTGTTCATATGCTTAGTCAATGCATAAATTTACCTGCTCGAAGCAGAAATCTTGTAACAGTATTAAAATGAACGAAAATAATGGATGTTGATCTAAGTTGCGGTGATGACTTGATTTGTCTCATTCTCGATTACGCTGATCCCGAGGTCCCACCATGACCTTTATACGACCGACACTTCTGGTCCTTACCTTCATAGCTTTTTCTGGATATCCTTGATTAGCTTCCTCTTTCCTGCTGCCTCGGAAACCATCACAACTTGAGGAATTCCATTAGGATTTCCATGACTTGTTGAAAATGAATTTTTAGCAACTTTATGAATTCAGCCGCCATATACGGTTAATCACACAAATCACAAGTTTGATACTGAATTAGGCTGAGTCACTTTGCGGTAGAAGTATAAATGACACCTTTCAAGGGGATTCGTTCATGGATTAGCATCAAATGAAAAAGCTGTTTTGAGGCCAGTTTGTTGATTATCAGGGCTGTACCGAGACGCGCCTTTATTACCGAGTGTGAAATTCTCACATCGAAGTCATGCTACTCACAAGTAACACATAACGATATATGGTACATATTTTTACTGCAAGATCAGCTGCGTAACACGAAATCGGACGCACATTCCACCACGGGGAGTTCGAAGAAGATTTGTGCTGCACTAGCTGATACAAATTGGGGTTCAACCGACTAATAGTGTTCTACTTTGCATTACAGCAAATCATTGCTAACACACACCTGGTTCAGTGACGACGGGGTTGCCTTCTTGAGCAACTCTAACACGCGTCAAAACCAAGGAAAAAAGGCTGGTGGCCACGCGTGCCACTGCAATCAATGACTTTTCCCTCTCTCACAGGCAGAAGACCAGGAGTGAAAATTTGGAGCACCTTAGTAAATAATAGCTCCGGCAATGAATATTTGTTTGTAATGATCAATTGCCACAAAATGGAGCACAGCCATATCCAAAAATTAAACACAAGAGCCACTTCGATCGACCCCGAGTAAAGAAAAGCTTCCGGCTTCTGCTCACATGCATTCGTATCTAGGTCCCTCTTTTGAGATCCTAATCGTTAATTGTTTCCTTCGCCTATTGGGTATCCAAAGACGTGTACTACACCTAATGAAACTCAAGGCAATTCGTTCCCAGAACAGACCAACCACAATATCAAGGATATCCTAAAAGCCTACATCACAAGCCATAACGCTGCGTAATGCGATACGATGTAACCCGAGTGTGCGCTTTATTATCTGTTTCTCACCACCATGATTCGGATGCGAGCTTTACCTACCTGTCGATCTTTTGACGCTAATTTTGTCAACACAGTTGTCTATCATTCCCGCTACATGATACCTGAGTATACCGTCATTGTTGTTATTGTTGCGTTGGCACCATGCTTGCTTTCAAGCCGGTGGTATATATATATATATATACCGTCTACGAAGACCTTTGGGTGCTAGCACTAAATCGCATATACATTCACAGGAACCAAACAACCTTATGTTCATTCGATCTCCTGTAGTGGTTCCAAATCGAGCTAATTCTTCAGTGCCCTCCCCACCCCCATTTATTCTTTTCATCATTCCTACGTAGTTCGCTGAGACCTGCAACTGTCATTTTAACAACAGACACTCCAAAGATAGTACAACCAAGGTGTGTTCAACGGTGCAGCGGAAACTCGAAATATTATTTTCCAATTATCTGCGTTTACCTGCTCAATTGACCAGAACTAAGGACTGCTTTCTCGACGGTGGCTTATCTCACCTTACCATTAACTAATACGGAGTTTATCTATCCATAGCACACATAGTAGGGAACCTGTTCGTAAAGTGATAAACTCCCTACCACATTACTTCTCATACGGGTTAGCAATCCCTCGTGGTCGGGTTCGAATAATTAGGGTGAGGGGGAGGCAGCTGTGCACAACAATTTCGAAGCTTTTCGGTATTGTTTAATACGTTCAGCCCGTTTTACTGATACATTTTCATGTAAAAAATAAAAACATCCTATTCGTTCCACATAAACACGGAACTGTTTGTCTTGTTGTTGGAGTAGGCTCATGCAATACTCTGTAGACAGCGATTTCGAACAGCGGTTGTTTGCATTTTGCTCTTAAAGTAACTGTCATATCTCTGAACCAGTCAGTAACGCGTGGTCGACTTTACGCAAAAATACAAATGCATCAGTGATGGTATTGCACGTTTCAAGCGGAAAACATCACACAAGCCTTACTTCTTTATGCATAACAGCACTTTGACCAAGATTCGTCTCCACCGAGATATGTGCCGGTTATATTAACAAGGTTTCTGTTGTCTCTACCGTTTTGTGCGTCCAAATGACTGGCAGGGGTATTTTGCATTTTATGAATGTTAAATGCCTACGGACCACCATTGTAGTAATGCTCATATCGTTCTAAAATGCATGAAACTGATCTAGAATTTTAATTTCCCCCAGACTGTAATTTCAACGCCTTCAATTGGACAGCTTGTTATCCCATCACTGATCAATGTCCCTGCTAGTATCATGCGATGCTAAAAAAGTTGTTCAGAAAGTGATGATCACCTTACAGTGTAAATCAGAAAAGAGAACGATGGCGGCACTGACGGGCAATGCAAAAAGCATCTTTCCGTCACGAGCTGAGCTCCAACCGATCCTGTACGTGGAACGTGTATAAAAGTAACCATTATTTCTGGCACAATCTGCACAGATAAAGTGCACAAAATGCGCAATGCATTCCACAGAGTCCAATGACACTTAAATCCAAGAAGGCTGATAAGGTGCTTCCAAGGACATAAAGCATTTTTATATTCCATTAGTTGACAATGGATACATCCTCATTCAAAGGGGAAACACCTCAATGAGATTGTTCATTCCTTTGGGAAGTATGACGAATTGAATCAGAAATAAACCACTTTGTTTATGACTCGCACAACGTGTATTTTGAGGGAAACATTCATGAAATCGGAATACTTTAAGCGTTCGAAACAAGTTCATCGTTTTGACTACGGTGACCTTGAAGACCGATTCGATCGAGTTTGCTTGATTCCTAACTGAACGATATCATTCTATCCGTATTCGTGACGAGACCGTCACGTGGTTTTTACAAGTGACTTGATTTTTTTTCAAATATCAAACGGTCATTCACACTACCAAACTTATGGAAAGAACTGGATTGGTGCTCCTTTCAATCACCTGAGAATCGTAGGCAATGTGTATCCACCTAGCTATCGTCAGATCCCGAACCCAGACTGGTAGAGTTTTCATTAGCTCCGCGATATCCTGAGGCAAGTGACAGGTTCGGCATTCTCCATAGCAATTTAACTAGTGCCATCACGATTAATTACCGTGGGCACAAAACCCTCGACCTGTAATCCATTCAGAGATGGGTGGTAATCGGGACCATACAAAAGGTGACCTCGGATGAAAGCGTGAAAACATTGAGTCAGAATACCAAGTTGAGGATTTTGCGACAGGCCAAACTGATCGTCAGAGAATAGGGGTGATATGACCGAATGTAGGGAACAACG